CCCCCCCCCCCCCCCCATCATCATGTTCCTTGTAAAGAATGACGTTATGGCTGTCCGACTGTTCTCATTGGCCAATAAACAGATTCAATATGCGGCCATATTCGATATGAAAACATGCTCTATGGTGGCCTTTATTATTCGGTCAATTAGCAGCGCTCATTCTGATTGGTCGACTCGTTGCCATGCAGCCAAAGTCAGCTGGGTGGTGCGCAGGGAAAAGAGCTCCGGGTAGAAACAAACGAGCAGAGGTTGTTGCCTGATGTTGCATCATCGAGAGAGAGAGAGAGAAAGACACACACACACAGGTAGAGAGAGACAGACAGGGGAACTCCGGAGTCATACGAGAAGAAGAAGCTCATATTTTAAGATACTTTAAATAATATCGGATTAAACTCATTAAACACCACTAAAACACGGACGACACGCTTGATTTTATGAATTTTAGAGCACTTTTCTACAACTTTTATGCGAGTGTAAGGAGCTTTAATGTCCTCTCAATCAACCTTAAGGTCCAATAGATAAATAGAGCCGATAAAACGTGTCTAAATGTGACTTTAAACACATACAAAAACTACGTTTTCACTTTGACGCTCACTAGCCAGTTAGCTTAGTTAGCTTCAGGTGCTAACGAGCCTCTAAAGCTAAGCTAGCCGTTAGCGCTGCGAGTAAAAAAAACACCGGTTTACCTTCACGGAACCTTCAGGACTCGACCATCCGTTAAAAGTACAGAACGAAACCGGAGAAACCGGGAGTTTGTTCTGTGTCTATCTGTTTTTGTTTAGAACAACATGGACGAGGAGGACAGCGATTGCGAAATCTCTATTACCATGTACGGTCATGTGCGGGCTCAGCCAATCAGAGGCCAGGTGGGCGGAGGTGAAGCGGACGGTTGGCCAATGACGAGAGAGTGATGCAATGCGCTCTGTGAATGACGTGTGATTCCTCCAATAAGAAGCGGGTGTGTTTTTCTGTAATGTGAGGTTTGTGAAATTAGTTCATAAAGATATGAATTCATGTGTAAATGACGACATTTAATGTAGTTATAGACACTATATTTATAGTACCACTAATATCTGTTAATGGTATAATAACGTGTACTATGTCATGCTTGTGTACACCTTAAAATAATATATAATACTTAAATAAATACACCTTGTGATGATGTAACAGGCGAGGAGACAAAATAGATACTGACGTCACAGATACGTCACAACAATGATATCAACATTTAGATATATTTCTAAACAGGATGATGAATTTTTATTGTGATGTTTAAGAGACAATATTAAAGATATAAAGATGTCACATGAATTTTTCTTTCTGTTTAATGACGTCATGACGATGAATGAAAAGTTTCACTTTTGGATTCTGAGAAAGAAGAAAACATTGTAATGTTCTTCTGATGATAATTATTATTATACAACACTGTCTAAGTACTACACTGTCTGAGCACTACACTGTCTGAGTACTACACTATCTGAGTACTACACTGTCTAAGTACTACACTATCTGAGTACTACACTATCTGAGTACTACACTGTCTAAGTACTACACTGCCTGAGTACTACACTGTCTAAGTACTACACTATCTGAGTACTACACTGACTGAGTACTACACTGTCTGAGTACTACACTGTCTGAGTACTACACAGTCTAAGTACTACACTATCTGAGTACTACACTATCTGAGTATTATACTGTCTGAGCACTACACTGAGTACTACACTGTCCCAGTACTACACTGTCTGAGTATTACACTGTCTGAGTACTACACTATCTGAGTACTACACTATCTGAGTACTGCACTGTCTGAGTACTACACTGTCTGAGTACTACACTATCTGAGTATTACACTGTCTGAGTACTACACTATCTGAGTACTAAACTGTCCCAGTACTACACTGTCTGAGTACTACACTGTCTGAGTACTACACTATCTGAGTA